GCAGATGGGGCAAGGGACGCGATGGGCAGCTGCAGGACAGCTCGAGGGGCCCAGGGAGCCCAGCAGAAGGGACTGAAGACATGGGGCAGGCAGAGAAGCCCTGCAGAGGAGCCAGGGACCTTGATCTCTTCCCAGTCCGCCTCCCAGGGCGCAGGGGACAGCTTTGCAAATGCCACTTGCTGCATCTTGTGACATTTTTGCCGAATAAAAGCTCCAGTGTGTGCATGATTATTAACTGGGGCCGGAGGAGCTTGGACAACCCGCTCCATTGTTGTGGATGGAGATTGTTTCCCTTCCCACCCCAAACCCACTCTCTGCTCTCCCCGGCAGCCGCTGGCTTTCAATCCCTGGGCTGGGAAGTGCTGGGGATGGTGGGGGGGAGTGAACCAGTGGCAGTTGCAAGGAGACGTTGTCGGGAGGGGACGTGGCCGGTGCGGGCAGCAGCATCTGCAGGGCTGGGGCTGGAGATGTCTGGATGCGTCCCCGTGCCTTGCATGGCCTCAGGTGGCCGGTTTGGAGCAGGCTTAGGTACGTGGAGGGCTGCGAGGGGGCCGATGCTGAGCCTGGGAGAGGAGGGTCTGGCTGGTGTCCCCTCATCCCACTTGTAGACCCCTCTCCTGCATGAGAATGGTGTGAGCTTTCTTGTGTGCTGCTCCTGGATGTGGTCTTGCACAAGCTTGTCTGTGTGCGCTGTTGCACGCTTAAGTGCTCACGCAGGCTGACACACACCTTTTCCCCGCTGACCGGCTGCATCCTGCTCCGTTCCAGTGGTGGGCAGCACCCTCCGGTCCCTCAACGCCTCCGCCAACCGGCGCCTCTTCGACAGGGATGCCTTCCCCAGGGGCTGTGTCCGCTGTGCCGTGGTGGGCAACGGCGGCATCCTCAACGGCTCGCGGCAGGGCAAGGCGATCGATGCTCACGACCTGGTCTTCAGGTGCAGATGGGTCCCGGGCAGGATGGGGCCATGGGTGCTGGGGAGTGGCTGGCCCTGGACACGTGTCCTGCCCTTCTCCTGCAGGCTCAATGGTGCTGTGATCAAAGGCTTTGAGGAGGACGTTGGGACCAAGATCTCCTTCTACGGCTTCACGGTGAACACCATGAAGAACTCCCTCATCGCCTATGAGGAGTACGGCTTCACCCAGATACCCCAGGCCAAGGTGAGAACCCGAGGGCTTGTTGGGGAGGTGACCCCAAATTGTCCCCTGAGGCTGGGCTTGCCCCCGAAACCTTCTCCCCATCTCAGGAGCCCTCAGCCCTCGCCCCGCTAGCATGGGCAGTGCCCCAAAGGCCCCCCAAGCGCCGTATCTGTGTCCCCGCTGCAGGACCTGAGGTACATCTTCATCCCCTCGGACGTTCGCGACTACGTGATGCTGAAGTCGGCCATCCAGGGGAGCCCGGTCCCCGAAGGCTCGGACAAGGGAGATGAGTGAGTAGCCCCCCAGGATCCCCCCAGCACCTTCAGTGACGCACCAGAGGGAGCATGACTTGCCTGCCCTCACCCCACATCTGTCCCTGGTGGGATAAACCCCAAGTAGCCCCAAGGCTCCCGTGACGTGAATTCTGCCCTTCTCCTCGCCCCGCTGCAGGCCACAGAAGTATTTTGGACCGGAGGCATCTGCAGAGAAGTTCAAGCTGCTGCATCCTGATTTCTTGCAGTACCTGACAGCAAGGTGAGGATGATGAGGACCGCGGCTGCTGCCTGGCTCTGCTCTGGGCTGGGCTGAGACCGCCTGCCTCCCACCACTGCTCTCCCCAGTACAGACCAGTGGCTGCCCAGCAGCAAAGCGCAGTCCCAGTCCTCCCCAGGCACTGGAACCACTTCTGTCCTGCTCTCTGCAGACAAAGCAGAGATTTGTCCCCCACCATTCCCATTCACTGCAGCACAGCTCACGTCCCCTCCTGGCAGGGAGACTCCCGCAGCCTCACTGTGCTCAGCTCGCCTCCCGTTTCCCAAAATAAATTAAATTTTGACCTAATCTAACAGGAGCAGAGGTAGGGCCCAAAGGAATTGTCTTTTCCTACCTTTCCTGAAAGCAGGCGCCTGGGTTGGGGCGATTTCAAACAGCAGGGAGGTGCCTTTCAGCAACCTGCAGCGAATGAGCTGAACCTTGGTAGCAGCCATCAGAGAATCCACACGAGGCCTGCGTTTCACTTGGTGCTCCTGCCTTACTGGGCACGGGCGTCACCGAGTGCATGGTGGGGGGCTGGACAGGTGCTGGGTGCTGCTGGGTCTGGTGCTGGGGGCCGTGGTGCCATGCCAGCGGCGAGCACCCCCTGACCCGCCGTGTCCACCGGCAGGTTCCTGCGGTCGGAGCTCCTGAACACACAGTACAGCTCGATCTACATGCCCAGCACCGGCGCCCTCATGCTCCTCACCGCGCTCCACACCTGCGACCAGGTAAGAGGCCACGGGGCCACCTTCCCCCTGGGGACCAGGGGACCCCGCTTTGGCTGCTGGGGGCTTGTGACTAGCTGCTCTAAGGCTCCTGGTGGGGACCAGCGTGTCCTGGTGGCTGCTCTGCACGTGCCATCCTGTCCCCGGAGGGGGTGGGGGTGGTGGTGGTGCATGGAGCACCTTAAGCTGAGCCCTAACCCCATCCTTCGCCTGTCTGTCCCACCTCCCTCCCTGCAGGTCAGTGCCTACGGGTTCATCACCGCCAACTACGAGCAGTTCTCAGACCACTACTACGAGCTGGAGAAGAAACCGCTGGTGTTTTATGCCAACCACGACATGATGCTGGAGGCAGCGCTGTGGAGGAGCCTCCACCAATCGGGGATCATGACCCTCTACCAGCGGTGAGGCCGGGTGGTGGCCCATGGGGGCCAAGTCCAAGGACTCCTGTGGCTCTTCTCTTTCCCGAAGGCCACCTTCTCCCTCCCGAGGGCTCTCCTCAGCTGGCCGGCCAGCCCAAGGAGCAGACCACAGCTGGTGGTGGTGGTGGTGGTAAGGGGCAAGCTGAAGCTGGTATAGGGAAACGCTGCATTTCCTTGGGGATCTCCAGCAACTTGTTTCATGGTTCAACGTGATTGAATGTAGCCTTTGGGGCACCAAGAAGCACCACAGCATGTGGCTGTGACCTCCCAGCCCCACGAACACGGCTGGGAAGCACAGGAGGAGCAGGGTGATGCTGGAAGAGGATGCTGGAGATGTGTATATGTGGCAGCCTCTGGCTGGAAGACGCCCTTCACCTTGCCGTCGCACCTCAGCTCAAATGCTCGTCACCGTGGTGGGACCACAACAGGCATGATGAATCCTTGGACTGGAGGGACTAGATCATCCAGCACAGGAAAGTGGTGTGTTTGGAGAACACCTCCCTCCCGGACTGCAAGCAAGCCCCAACTCCAGCCAGCTCTGGGTTGACGCGTGCCACTTTCCAGAAGGATGTTTGCCTCCGTGATCAGCAGGAAAGTCAAGCGGCTTGGCCACCCTCTCCTGTGACAGACGCACAGTGTGCCCTGTCATTTTCCCCATCTCTAGGTCGCGGTGTTTGCAAACAAGGAAGGGTCTTAAAAGCCATCAGTCAAGAGTAGGGTTACTGCAGCTCAGCTGGGACATCAGAAACACAGCTGGCCTTTGAGCATCCTGGAGATGAGAGCTGGCCTCCAGCCCACGCGCGTGTGGTAGTGGCTTTGTTGGGTTTTTCTTGCACGGGGACCACGTGGTGCCCTCACGTGCTGAGAAGGCAGCCCCATGCCAGGTGGGTTAGGGAACCTGCTAGCTCGTTGGGCGAGCCTAAGTGATCGTCGCCCTTTAATTTTTTTTCCTCCCAAAAAAACCCGAGAGAGGTGAAGGTCTTGAACCCTTCAGCCATCCCGCGTAAGCCAGCGCTGCTAAGGAAGACCCGCTGGGGAGGTGACTCCAGCTGGTGGTGGCTGGAGGGTTGATACGGCACAGCAGTGGGAACGGTGTAATCCGAGACACTTTCCCACTTTGTGTAATTACATAAATGTTGAATGATTGTTTTCTTTTGTGCCTGTTTCTGTTGTTTTGGCGAATGGGGTGGGGGCGAGACCCCCTACCTCCCGCAGCAGAGGAGCATGTAGGAGAGCAAGCCTTTGACTGGGGAACGGCTCCAGAGGCAGGGATGGGGATGGGAGCGGGGTTAAACGGTGGAGCCCTGGGCTGGCAGGGAGGCCTGGCGCCTGGCAGAGGGGCAGACGGCCATGCCGGATCTCTGGGAGCAGCTCCGAGCACAGCCTTTTTCCACTTGGGATGCTATTTGCTGTACCTCAGCCAGGGAGGAGCGGTTTACTGCAGAGATGGCAAAGAGATAGCCTGGCTGTGAGCCAGGGAACCT